ATCTACCCACCCCCAACCTATTCATTCACCCACCCCCAACCTATTCATAAACCCACCCCCAACCTATTCATCCACCCACCCATGTGCTTATATTATGATGTATGAAAGAATGATTAATTGGTGTATTATTCGACGTATCTTCCAGAGTTCTTGGGTGGAACATATCGATCAATACCTAATCACACCATCAAAGGTCACTCTATCAGAAAACTGAGCACTTCGAGCCAGATCGCCTGCGTTCTTCTATGTCAGCAATCATCCAAGTGTAAATCAGTGACGTATTTGTATGTTTCCCAGTCCTCTGGTTTGTGCACTCTGCACAAAACAAACATACGTGAAACGCCTGGAAGTATTGTGGCAGAAAGCCACGTGATATACTATGAACTAATTACGTAATCTTGGGATCCTGAAGAAAGACAAAGAAACAACGAACAAGTAGACTTCTATTTTTATACTATAATTAATTCGCTCCGTGCTGCTGTAGTTGAGAAGTTCAATGTCATTTTTCCTCGATGCAGGTTGTATTTTCAGCCGTCGCTCTTGAAAAGTTATTTGCATTTCCTTCAAGCCTGTTTGTATTCAAACTCAACAACTATAGTTACTTAATAATAATAAAAACGATGATAACAAAAATAGCGAAATATAGCGTAATCATGATCAGGACAATTTCTAATGAAGGAGCCCCTGGCACACACACTACTKACACTGAAGGCAATGAGTGGTTCTTCAGTTGTCCTCCCTCCACAATCAAAAATCAACTTCTTAATTCCAATTCGATCATCAGGGAAAGAGTAATCAAGATAAACTAGGTGTTCAGAATATGTGAGGTTCATAGTGTGAGAAGTTTCAAAATATAGACATCAAATTTCATTGTTTCAAAGACTTCATTATTGTTTTACGTTGAGGACGTTCTCATCTTATTTATTTACCTGTAGTCTCTTAACAAAAAAAATCGGGAAAGCTGATTCAATAGGTGCATATTTAAATTCATAGATTTAATGTTTTTCATCTTTAGTTCATTTGTTTGCTGATTTTGATCGTACAAAATGAACGGGATGCGTTCTATTATCGTCTTGGCCATCAAGGTTGTAGCAACCTTACAAACTGCAGTATCAGTTGCAGGTAGTCATTAGTCATGATCAAACCAGAATTTCCCTTTGAAGCCTAATTTGTCGGTCCATCGTCTTTACTGTTTCTGAATACAAGAACGTAGTGAAAGAAATAAGGAACTCTTGTGAACAAATCTGCTCAGTTCCAGATGGGAATCCAACTCATAACCTACTCGTGCATACTTTCTTTACTACGTGGAATCTGTGAACCCTGCTAACCTCTAGACCACCGACAATCGTGATGCATTACCCAGCTAATAGTTATTATACAGGGTAGTGTATGATGCTAACCTCGTGATGCATTACCCAGCTAATAGTTACTATACAGGGTAGTGTATGATGCTAACCTCGTGATGCATTACCCAGCTAATAGTTATTATACAGGGTAGTGTATGATGCTAACCTCGTGATGCATT